TTGCAAAACCTCTCTATTGCCACAGTGGTAGTACGTACGCTCAATTCTTCGAGCGCTGCGACTGCTCAACATGAGTCGTCGTGGATCACACGAGGTGCGCGAGTTCGCCTCACCCCATGCCGACTACAACGGCGTGGCTGGCTCAAACTCAAAAACGATCTCCTTCTCGACTTACCATGCATTTCACTGTGGCACGCACGCTTGATTCTGTCACGTCGTGTACAGCGAACGCAAACCAAACCACCTGTCGGACACTGCGTCCACGATCTCGATCGCTGCATGCACTTGCCAACGCACGGACCACCAACAGGAGAGCGGTTGGTTTGAACAATTGCTCGGCGCTGGCGCTCGGACGCTTGAGCTCAAGGTGACGCAGACCTTTGCAGACTGCCCTCCCCCCGTTGTTATGCACGGATGTGACGTCGCTCGAGTGGATCTTGTGCCCCTTCTATCGCAGCGACAACACACACATTGAAATAGGGGTTCATGTTTGTTCTCAATCAAACGGCATCGAGGTTTAGATGCAAGTCTTCGACGAGCAAGGCACCTTGCAATGCCACGTCGGCGTCGTCCACGTTTTTCAACAGCGCCACGAGCGCCACGACCACACTCGCCGTCGCTTGCACCCTCGTCACTCGGTGGGACGCCATGTCGTGCGAGAAGAGCACGCGGAGGGGCAGGAGCATGGTGGACCCAATCAGCTTGTCGACAAGGTCTGGTCGGTTAACCAAGTGGGGAAACAGCGCCTGCACCGCTGCACCGGTCACAACAACGCGGGCATCGTACGTGGCCTCGAGCACGATCAACGGGACGTCGACTGTGACGACTGTAATGTCCATGCATGCTACATGAACGGAGCCGAACAGCGCGTCATACATTGCCCATTGATTCAGGATATGTTTGACACCAATCTGCGTGCATTGTCGTTCCGGTGAACCATTCCGTCGCCACGATAGTTGGTGCATCGTACCTGCCCGTTGTAGTTGACGTGGGGTGCGGCAAACTCGGCGAGGAACGCTTCTTGCCGCCTCGCGTGCGCGCCGCGCGTGGGGCTGTATCCAAACTCGAACAGTTTGGTGTATTGTGACGTTTTCGCGATGCACAAACTAACGCCTCGCTGGTCGTACAGCCCAGCCAAATGCGCTTGCAAGCGGAGGTTTTCCAGTTGGACTTCCCGCACGTACTCCTCCAGTCGCGCGTTCAGCGCCTTCTTCTTGGCGCGATGTCGTCGCATGCACATCTTGCTTCGATGCCGTCGCACAACACGCTGCGCTTCGGCGCGATCCAGGGCGACCAATGTTGGTGGTGGCCCCATCTGCATGGACGTGTCCTTTGGCAAAATGTAAAATGGCGAGATTTCGAAGCGTTGTCAAGAGGGTGGCACGTCTGCTGGCGCCGCACTCGATGGCAGGTGATTGCTAACACACACCAAACTCTGCCCGTTCGTCGCCAGCCGTCTGAAGCGTGCAAGAACACGCGCAAGTGACGTGTCACTGACAACTTGTCACATCTGACCGTAGCGCCATCAGGGCCAACTCGCCGGAGGATGCTCCTAGACCCCACGTGGCCGTCGAAAGGATGCGTGAGCGCGCCATTGCAGCAAACCCTCGCTGCATACGGCACGCCCGACCACGCTTCCACTCACGCCTCGAGCCAACAAAGGTCGCGACCGCGGATATGATCGAGAGTTTGATTTCCATCAAACAATTCTTGTTGACAGGATCTTCCGTTACGTGAGTGCAACCCGCACCGTTTTATCCGTCATAATAGTACAAACATCGCCGGTTTTATCTTCTTCAAGTATATTCCAACGACGCAAACCATTGTCGTAGAGATGAGGCGGGCGCCTTGGCTTCTCACGGCAGGCAAAGAGACCTGCGCTACCTTTGCCGCTGCATTTCGGTGGCACGCAGCGCGCGTGGGTCTCTTAGATACTAGTCCAGCCCGTGAACGTCGGCCTTTGTACGCCGAGCCACAGACTGCATTCGCTTGTACGTCGATATGTAACAGATGACCAGGTAAATCCGACCAGGTAGGATGACGATGCCAAATCACGTCATCTGTGTGTGGATCACGCGGCGGGACGTGCCGGCCACACGAAAGCGACGTTCACTGGCCACTGCGGAGTACTGTTGCACAGCCACCATGATGGTGAGCTCCCTTGGTGGACGAGGCTGGACGGAGCCATTGCGTGTCTCTCGCAAGCCTTGACTTTACTTGGCGCCAAGGGTGAAAGGGCACCCCTGCATGTCGCCTCCGTGCGACGTCGTGGCCCATGGGTATTCGTCGCTAGCTCAAGAAATTTGGGTGGAGGCAGCAAGTTTACCCCCCAAACAACAAGGCTCGAAGTTGCTGCCTCGTTCAGTGGCACACACACACACACCCCGCAGCACACCAAGACCACCCGAGCGAGTTGACGTCTGCGACCTACCTTGGGTTCGCTCCTTCCCATCCGCGCGACAGAGGTGATTTCTAGCAGTACCTCTTCAAGTGCTTTTGTTTTGCAGGACGACTTGTTCGGCTGCAATCCGTGGCCCCCACGCGACATTGGGCTGGTGTGGATTGCATATCGGTTGCCCTTTGGCATGTCGAACGTCATGCCATCCTCCATGAACTCATCACACTCGAGCATTACTTGGCTGTGCAGACCGAGAGGTTCGCAGTCCGGGCGTCCAGTTGGCCTAAAGACTGACGCGAGGCGGTGGCGGGGAGCTTGGTGCCTGCACGCATCGTCCCGGCGTCGCAGCCAGACCACCTGAACGGACCTTAACATTTTGACGACGCCACCACTGTTTCGGCGAAGGATCCATCGGGATGGCCTTGACGTGGCATGTCCCGACAGGTCGTCACATCCTGTGTTTTTATGCGCCACCACTGACATCATCCGAAGTCGCGCCAAGCCGATAGAGTGCAGCAGCCCCACGGCAGGACGCGCCGCAGCCGACGTCGCGAGGCGACCCAGCTGGAGCAACATCAGCCTGCGAAAAAACCGGGCCAACCAGAGAGCATCCAACGCGCAGCTGGCCAACGACGTGGTGGCGCTGGAGTTGGCCAGTCTCGGGTTGCAAGAGCGGCTGTCTCCCCTGCACGACCAACGTTGAGTGCGTAAATGCATCGACGCTGCGCTCTTTGAATTCGGATACAGCCGCACGAGTCTCGACGCGGACATGACGCCAGGAAGTACTGTATTCCTCCACGAGTTGGCGGCGCCAAATGTTGAACGGCAAGGTAAACCAAGCCAGCTACAGCGATCGGCAGCTATTCAAACCTAGTCGCTGATAGCGGTATCGTAGGTTCAGGTCAAGCACGGACTCGATCCATGGGCTTCGTCCAGTTATTTGGGGAAGTCGTTTCAACTTGAGCGAACATTCAAGTGGTGGCGGTGGACGAGCATGTCATTTTGCTGGAATCGTCACAAATCATGCATGTCGTCATGACAGACGTCGCCATGCACGTGCTCTTTCTCCGGATTTCCTTACGACGCGATCTTGTGGACAAGTTATCGGAGGCGCACCTGAGTCCCCTTCACGTACGACGCGCTTTCCCGCCGCGTCTCGACAATGCAAGCAACGGCGAGCGTCGTGGTTGCCCTCGTCGAGCATTTGAAATGCCCTCACGTCGCCAGCGACGCTGTGCGCGCCGCGCTGCTGAACGCCAACGTCCTCCTTGACACGTTCGACTACGTCGCGGTCAGGCGCTAAACTGAAATTCGCAGCATGACAGCTCCCTTGTTCTCGTCGTCCATTCATTTCGGTGCGCCGATCAGCTGCGGCGCAAGTGGTCGAACTTCTATATGCACGGCAGTGAGCTGTTGCATGTGATACCGCACCACGTCGAGGCTGTTGGACTCGCAGCATTGGCCCGCTGGATACGAGGAGCTTCCATTGTCGATACAGACTGAAGACTGGACTCTTGTACGGGCAAGGGACGGCCCCCACACTCGCGATTTTGTCCTGTCGAGAGCGGCGCGCGGTAGGACACCAGAATCACGCGCCTGTGCAGTTGCATTTACGTTCGTTTCGGTCGATCCCGTCTTGCTCGTGGACCTATGCCAACCCCATGAGCAACACAAACGATTTCCAGGCGTCGGAGCATGCAATGCGCGCAGGAGCTCGTGTCTGTGGCGACCTCGCTTGGGCTGCCGTCGCATTTTGCACTTTGTCGTCGTCGGATTGACATGCGCACTGTTTCAAACACCGCGTTTGCGGAAGCGTCACGATGACATACCACCTCGATTGATTGGCTGAAACAAATTGATTTTGCATAATAATGTGTTTTGATTGGAGAATCAATTTCAACCTGATCTACTAAACGTGTCGATGGGTCAAGTTCGGTGGGGGCAGTCAGGACTGGCGATTCGACGGAGCACAGGAGGACGACCGGCGAGCGGCACGTCGGCGCAGAAGCGCACGCCATTCGAAACGATACGAGGGGAAGTCGATATTGGCATCGCAACGTAGATGGAGCGCCGACACCATGAGATTGAACAGCCCTCGAGTGTGTTAGGGGCGTGGGATATTCTGGAGATCTAACAAGAGGTTGTCGTCGAGGAGGGCGTCCCGCAGTGCCTCGCTTGCCTCTTCGGTGCTCTTGAAGTGCTCGACAAGGGCGACGGCGACGCTAGCGGTTGCTTGAATTCGCGCCACGCGATGGGAATTCGCGTTGTGGGTGAATATGATGCGGAGGGGCAATTTGAGCTTCGAATCGACCATCTTCGCGACCAGATCCGGGCAACGGGCCAACCGAGGGAACAGGACTTGGACGGCGACATTCGTCACAAGGACGTGCATGAACAGGTCTGTTTCCAACACAATCGTGTGCTCGTCCACAGTCAGCACGTGAATGCTGAGGCATTCGATGCGGACGGACTCAAACAGCGCATCGTACGTCGCCCACTGGTCGAGGATAGCCTGCACACCGACCTATACATCCGCCGCCGCGCGCGTGATTCCGTGACTAGGGAACCGAGTGGCTCATACCTTGCCGTTAAAGTCTATGTTGGACACTGCAAAATTGTAGACGAAGGCCTCTTGTTGAGCCGCCAAGTCGACGTCGGGACGGGCTCGGCTGTATCCGAACTCGAACAGGTGAAGGTACTGCGACACGGCCGCGATGCACTGACTGACCCCCTGTCGTTCGTGCAGGACCGACAGCCGCGCCTCCAAGCGCAAGTTGTTCATCTCGAGCGCCCGCACGTCCTCGACGAGCTGCGTGTTGGATGCCTTTTGATTCGCGCGGTACTTTCGTTGGCTGATCTTGCTTCGGTTCCGCCGCTTGGCCCGCCGCGCTTCCATGCGATCTGCGATCGACATGGCTGTCGCCGACTGCATGTGTCTCTGGCTGCGATCGGTGAATGTGACTAGGTGAGGTTGCCCCATGGGTGTATAGAAGCGTGCGTGACGTCCACATGGCCGGATGGAACGATCCGAGCGATATCCTGATTTGGGGGGCGTTGCCTGTGGCAGGAAAACCTCCATCGAAACAGGACAGCTTTCAATACAAATTGCAAGCTTGGCCCTAAACGAGGGATGGCGCTGCCCCCGTTGGCTCCGGTCGGTATAAACACGCGGCCATCGTTGGTGAACCGACCCGATTCACGCCTTGGTGCGGTCGAACACTCGAGGGAACGCAAGGGAGCCCTTTGGATTCGTTGTGACCCGATGAAAGCCCCTCTCGGGGAGACGTCGGGGGGGGGAGGGCGTGGTGGACTCGTCCCGTGGCAGCTACATGGTGGCCAACCCCCCCCCCCCGAGTGGCCCTCCCGAAACGACCGCGCCGATTTATGTCGACGGCACGGTTTGCGAATGTCGCAACCTGAAATCCCTCGGAAAATCACATAGATCCAAATTGTATTGGCTAAAATGAAACGTCTTGTCGTCTTTTTAGCCAATGAAATTTGAAATTCTCCAAAAGTAGCGCAAGTTGACGAACGATGTTGCATAGACACGACGGCGCCGCCGCTGACACAAGATGACGGGATTCGGTGCCTAGCGCTAACGCGACTGGAAAGGTTACGATGAAAACCGACCAACGTATTCAATCACGATGGAAGGCTCGCGCCAGGGATCGCTGTGTGGCTCTCTGTGGCCGAGAGGCCGGCGTTCCAAGCCACCACGATCCACATCACCCATGTCGCCAACAGCTGACGATTTTTGCCACCCCCCATCGTGGGATGTGATCAGGATCGTCATGGATGATTGCGTCGCCCCGAGCCCGTGGCATGCGATGGTCGGTTGCTGAATGCGACGGAATCTCTGTGGTGGCACCCACCGGAAGATATCCTGCTGCACGATTTGAACTGTTCACACGTGGACGAATTCGAGTTGTTTTGCAATCGTCGTCCTCCCAGTGGCCGCATGGCTATACCTACATGGATGTGTCAGGGTCGACTGCGTCGCACTCGACGATACAAAGACGGCACATCGCAGAGGAACCGTTCGCCACGCGATCCCACGTGCTTGGAAAGCTAGTCGCTCTCCACGGTGTTAAAAAAAAAATTTGAATATAAAAAATTATTAAAAACTGCATGAATTACTCCGTTCTGTATTCGTGGCGACATGGCACGGGCACGACGAATTCACCCGTCTTCGTTTGTGTCCCCGTCGCCTGGCCCCTGGTGACGTTGACGCTGCACGATAACTCGTCTTGCTTTTAAGTGGACGTCCGACAGCGAAACAACACCAACTGCAATCCCTCCACAACCCCTCAAGTAAACACTACACCTCGAGCTAGCGAGCGCAGCACGAGAAGCGTGTGCGTGGGGAGCACCACGCCGCGGGATGATACGAAGAGCCGCAATAGAAACAGCAGCAATGTTATTGTGCAATATGTACGAGTAGCCCCTAAGTGACCCTCCGCCACGGAGCCGACAAGCGAGCCGGCCGCGAACCTTGATGACGGCGGCACCCCTACCGCGCGATGGCTCGAAACAACTTCACGGGTGGAACACGACATTCTGGTGGTCGAGGAAGGCGCCATGGAGGGCGTCGCACGCACACTGAGCGCTCTGCAACGTGTCCATGAGGGCAACCACGACGTTGCTGTGGACGTCAAGCCGCGTGACCAGGCGAGATGCCACGTCAAAGGTGAAGACTAATCGGATCGGAATGCGGAGACCAGGGGACTGGATCAATTTGTGGGCAAGGTCTTGGTCCAGGTGTGGGAAGAGCTGGCGAAGTGTTGTTTCAGTTACGCGAATGTGCTTGACAGTGGTCGTTTGAAGCATAAAGATGTCTGATGTGATGGACAGGACGTCGACTTCCGAGCACTCGATGCACCCCACCGACTCGAAGAGGGCTCTGCACGCAACCCACCGGTGAACGAGCTCATCGACGCCAAACTGCTTGGAGGTCACCCATCGTCCGATTTGGTTGTCCCATTCGACCTAGGCACAGACAATTGTGGAGAGCGTCAGTGCACCCGAACGAACGAGCATAACGGGTGTCTACCTTGCCGTCAAACTCGACGTGGGGCGCGCATAGCGTCCGAATCGACGCTTCCTGCTCCCGGAGCAATGCCACGTATGTGTCCGTGTCCTGGCGGCATACAGCGCTTGCACACCCTCGTTCAAACGTTTGCATGTACCGATTCACAGATGCAATACAGTCGCTAACACCGATGAAGTCCCGGAGCATGCACAGCCGCGCTTCGAGCCGAACGTTGTACAGTTCGAGCTCGTGCGTGTTGGCCGCGAGCTGCGCATTCGACTCTTTCATCATGGCGCGGTACTTGCGCTGGTTGATCTTACTGCGATCGCGGCGGTCGTCTACATGGAACATCGCGTGGTCCTCGGCCCCTTCTTCCTCGTCGCGTCGGCGAATGTGGTGACGTGGTCCAACAACGACCTGATTCTTCCTTCAAGTGGAATGGTCAGTGCTGGGTGCCATCACTGTGTGGCCCAAACGAAACGGGTCAAAACCTGGTCCGGGCACCTCCTTCAACAGAAGCAGGCAACCCCAGCAAGCCACGAGCCGCGCGACCCTTGGTCGATCTTCGCCACGTCGTCGGGTGGTTTCTGTATATTGAATGGAAGAGGTTGTCGTCCACCTCCTTCATCTTTTTCCCAGGAAATATTCGATTTGAGAGGGCGTTGATCGCCGTCCGGGTTGGAGAAACGCGATGTACAATGGGATAAACCTCACCGCGCTAAAGACACGCAGTCAACGTGAGAAAAAACTCGCGCCGAAGATTTCGAAGCTTGGGCTTCCACGATCGTGGGAGGCATGGATTTGAGGCCACTGATTGGCCAAAACAACTTCGAAAATATGCAGGTTTTCACCTTGCCCACGACGGGGATGGCCAATGCAATTGGACCAGTAGTTTGTTGGTCAGTCGACGGAAGCAACCTCGTCATGTGACGTC